TATCTATCTATCTATCTATCTATCTATCTATCTATCTATCTATCTATCTATCTATCTGAACCATCCATTTCTACTGCAGAAAATGCGTTCTGTACCTATATTGCTCAAATTAGAACTTTCTAGAATAGATTTAAGTATATTGATTTTCACCAAAAAAAGATACTTTTTTTGGTGGTTACATCAATCCCTTCTGCTGTCAGAATAAGTAAACCTTTTCTACTGAAAAATATGCATCAATAGATAACTGTGTTTTTACACTAGTAATAATTTCATAAAAAATATTAGGGCTGTGCAAATCTTCAGAGGAGTGCTTCAGTTCAACATAGCTTTGATTGAGCCATCCCATTAAAACCAAAAAGGAATAATTACAGTATTACGGCAAACCCCTTGAAGAAATCCAGCTGGAACTAGGCAGAGCTACTGTTCTCTAAAGAGTCTACCATCCCAGCTCTCTTCACTCCATTCTGTCAAAAAAACAACAACATAACAGCTGCAGGCACTCTGATGTTTCCTGATTATAGGCTATGGATAAATCCCTTTTATGAATCACATCTTGCATCTCAAAGCAGCTTGAATCAATTTGCCCTCAAATCACAAACTTGAATTGAATCATGCTCCCTTTAAATCTCCTGTTCGAGTCAAATCAAGTCTGATTTGCACAAGCCTAAAATATACATATTTATTTAATTATAGAATAAGTTCTTTAAAAAAATCTTACCAGAGAATGAAAAGCTTATAGGATATGTTGCAGGACCTTTCTAAAAGAACAAAACTACACTAAAAGCAAATGTTATGATGAGCCCATAAATCATTATACGTTTTACATCATTGTAAAACTTGGATGTGCAGTGCTGAGGCCAATGGAAGAGATCAGAATTACCTACTGTAGAATGTCCTGGTACATTTCATTACTATATAATGTGATGCAGAGTAAGTCCCTGATCCCCTGATAGCCCAAAGTAAAGTAAAGTAAAGTAAAGTAAAGTAAAGTAAAGTAAAGTAAAGTAAAGTAAAGTAAAGTAAAG